AAGCTCCAAAGGAATGCTGTCATCTCTTTGGACCACACAGATTTTGAATGCTGTTCCCCAAGGACAGATTTGTATTATTTATTTTAAGGGTAGAACTCTTCAGGCTCTGAAGCAAGTGTATTAGTGCAATTTAGAGATATATAATGTGCAGCAGAACCTGCTGCTCTTTTTTGGGTACAAAGTGTGGTATAATCAGTGATAAGCATGCCAAATATTTTAATCTCTTTCATCTTAGATCCAAGTTTACTACACAAATCATATCAAAGCACAGATCATGATCTTTAAGTTTATATTTGGAACACAGTAAAATTAAGAGTTATCATATTGCAGCTAACTGTGGGATATATTTGTGGCAGATATTTATGTTACACATACATTATGCATTTCTTTGTACATAAGGCTGAAGTTTAACTGATTGAAATAAGTTCAGTTTCACAGTTCACTTTATTCTCTTTTCAATTATTTAGTTCAGTTTTGTAGATGAAATCACTTTCACTCTGTAATATGGGCAGAGACAACAGTGCAGATTCTGTTCTCCCCAAAAGTATCAAGCTCAGAATTACATTTCTCATTAATAATAAAAGATGCCATTTCACAGTTCACTACTCTTCATAACAATACATATTTAGTCATTTTAAATTTATATACTATCTTTTCTCTACAAATAATTTTGAATACCTAACAGCTATATACAAGTAGATACATTTATCAGAACTGCTATGTAGCTGCCACTAGAGTGGAGGGTAGTAGCTAACTGGTATGCAACTGGGGAAGAGGGAATTTTGATGCATGTATCTTACACTGTAGTGTAGCCCTGGCACTGGAAGCAGCCTGGCTATGGCTTCTTGGAATTCTGCATGGGCTAAGCAGAGTAAATTGATCTTAGCGCAGCTCTATGCTAACACTACTATACCGTTTCTGGTAACAGGCTACGGATATACGTTCATTGGTAGAACTACAAAAACCAAGTGCTACAGTACTGCAGCCTCAGCATTTTATAGTGCCCCAAAAATAAAGCACTGTGGGGGCACATGCACGTGCACAACCCCCAGCTGGCACGCTACAAAGACACCTCAAAGACCTGCCCTCCAACTGGGGGCCCCTGCTCTTTTGCCCCTCACCCCACCCATGGGAGCCTGTAAGTAAGGCAACCACAGGAGAAAGGTTGTCTCTAGTTGATACATAACTGTGGCATCAGCCAGAGGTAACCCTCTCTGCTGCCACTGCTGCAGTGAATATAACTGCTCTTGTCACTGCCCTGGTAGTGGCAGTGGTACTGGCAGCAGCAGCTGTTCCCATGATAAGGACACCAGCTGTTGCCAGTGCTCCTGTGGGGCTCGCTGTGGCTGAACTTGTTGTCAGGGAGCTAACTGCTCTCCCCGCTTGCTTTTGCAGGTGGGGGATGGAGAGTGGAGGACTGTGGGATGCTGGGGGTCTCAGAGACCCTTTGCAGCACTACTTGTAACTGTCTGTGTTACATATGGCGCAAAAAAATGTAGTGCTACATAAAGTTTACTCCTTGAAAGCCAGATCTGTCATTTTTGTGGTGCTATAAAGAACGTGTAGAGGTAGATGCTCACTTTTTGTAGTATTACAAGGGTGTTTGTAGCTCTACAAAAGGAATGCATATCCACAGCCTTAGCTAGCTTAGGCATTACTACACTGCTCCAGTATGTGACATAAAGACATAGCCTTAGTCAATATTTCCCATTTTTTTATTATGCACCAGTCAATTATTACTCTTCACTCCCACATCAGCAGGATGCTGGTGTTAGTAAAGGATCTCTCTCAGATGTAGCTGCTAGGCACTTTGTGTTCATTTTAGGTAAAAGCTGTTACATAAACATAGAGTAGTAGTATGTATTGTTAGTGAGGTTAGTAAGCAGAAACTGAAGATGGCTGAATTATTACTTTTAAAAGTAGTTGCCTGGAAACAGCGATATCAAGCAGACCATTTTAAATCTTAGTTAAAAGCCTAAAGTGAAAAGTCTACTTACATTGAAATGCTGTGTACTCTATTTATCTCAGGAAGAAAAATGATTGTACTAATTTTGCCTGAATTTAAACCTGTATTTTCATGGAATATGGTTACTTAAAGTTAATGTTCAGACCACAAAGACTCCATCTAACCAAGCTCATGGTAATACATTTAATATTAATATGCTTTGATTCTTTTTGAGTGATTATAATTTTTTAAATTACAAAATAATTCTCTTTACCTCATACAACTAACAAGTTAGTTTACTAAAACTGAAAGAATTTTAAGAGTTACTTTGTTGTTGTTTGACTCATCACATGCATTTAACTTGACTTTGGTAGAAAGACTGGACCAGGAGTCAAACTATTTCAGTATGTACCTAGTAGACGGTCCCTACACCATCATTTGAAATACTTGGGAGATACTGAAGAACAATTTAGGGCAGCCACCCTAGATATACTAGGCAGGAAATGCAGAATATTAAGCTCCTCTATGTGGTGATTTAGAAAGCCCAGAGATATCAGTATTTTAACATCAGCTTCTCTTAGGAGCTATCCAGTAGGCATCTCTGTTCATTTGTGATACACAGTGCCTAAACCCATTTCTGAGTATAGCCATGTAGTAGGTTTGGAAGAGAAGCAATTCAGAATTTCTAATCTCACTTTTCTAGTGCTGCCAACCTCCTCCTGCTACTTTGCCACTTGCCCAAGAAGTGGGAAACCTTATAGGCCCAAATCTAGTACTCTCCCTGTCCCAGGAAAGTGCCCTAACCACTAGGCAACATAAGATTTGCTCTTGCTTATTTTCTTTTTGGCTGTTCTTGACTGCCCAGTTACCTAGCTTCAACAGACAAGGGTGAAAAGTGCCCTCACTCAGCCTATTCTATAGCCTGATAGTTAGGAAAATGGAAGTTGTAGGTTCAAATCTTTTTAGGATGAAGGACACTAAATTTGACATATGATAAAATGGGATGTATTCAAGCCAGACTGTGAACTCTACCTTGTTTAATGAAAAAAATACTGGACACCAGGATTGCAAAAGTCTGGATCTGCCTGAAGAGATTCTTTGTGCTGCATTCTATCAGGCAGTTGGCTGCTCAGGAAAGGGTTGACACCTTGCTGAAGGACTGACACAAAAATAAGAGACTTCTAAATGATAATCTAATACCAATGACTGGTTGCTCATGGTAGCTGGGCCAATAGTTAACAGACAATGGTATTTGCATTTTTAAACTCATAAAGGTCTCTGCAAGAGAAAGGAGAGGGGATGGACGTGCATGATTGGTAAGACCTGTAGCTTATCAGTTTGAACACACCGCTCAGAGACAAGGGCCGAATGAAGAATCAGGTTCTATTCTGTGCATTGCTACATATGGGGAAATGAAAGGGGATGAAACTCAGACCAAGAGGTCCATCTCAAAGTTTTGTTGATTTTTCAAATACCAGTAAACCTTATGTACCTTAACATTTAAGTAACTGTGGTTAAGAAAATTCAACGATTACCGTATATTCGCGCATATATCTCACAGTGTATACACGATTTTACAAAAAAAAATGGATGGGTGCGGGTTATCGGGGGGACTTTTTTTCCCTGCGGGGGGCCGGGGCCAGGGTGGGTTGCGCCGCCTCCCTGCTGGACCCGGGCAGGCTGGGCTGCGCTGACGCTGCTGTGGGGGGCGGCTGCATCGCCGCAGGGGGCCGGCACCAGGGCGGGCCGGGCTGCGCTGCCA